TCAAACCTTACCCTCAGATGGATCCTCTCTCCTGGGTTTATTTTGTTTGTTTGTTCTCTGGGATGACGTCCCAGATCTTTTTGGTAGCGCCACTGTTGCAAGTTGGGCTGTGCTGACTCACCCCAGTTCTGTATATTTAGCCAAAACATTAACAAGCTCATGTTTCCCACAACATATGGATGAACTTTTCACCAGTGTACACTGTTCTCCGAGCCTAGTTTGGAGGAAAGGCAGGCAGGCATTACATGCCATCTGGACAAGATAATCTTTTTTATTTACTCTGAAGAGGAGAGTCGGAGAGTTGCCCTCATCTTTTGCCAGTTTCCCTCTGAATGTTCTAGCTGTAAGTGGAGTTCCCCTTTGTATCAGTTACTTTTCCAATCTTCCCCACCCCTCCTTTACAAAAGATTTGGTCTATATTTGCCGATACAAGCCTCTGTTTTGTCAGTTTTCCACTGAGATTCCCCTCTTTCTCCTTGACTTCCATCTTTGCTTTTTCGTTTTTTTAAATGGATGACATCTCACAGGATTAGGGGTTTTTTTATCCTAAGTCATATGGAATAGCACACACTTCTCCAACCTGGTGTGTCCAGATGTGTTTAATTACAGCTTGAATACACCTGGAGGGCTCCAGGGTGGGACAAGCCAATATAATACATTCCCCAAATGCAGGGATTCCATATGGGGACTGTGTGTTTCTCTCCTTCTGACAGTCTGTCTCTTGGAGTAGATACATCGATCCCCAGCGATGGGCTTACTTTTTCTCCAAGCATCAGAGAATCATTCTTTGCTCCTATAAGCACTTCTTATCCACTTTCAAATTGGAGCTGCTTTACTTTAGGTAGACTTCAAAGGAAAAGCAACAAACTAGAAGTCTCTGTGATTAGCATTTCATGAATCTGAACACCCAAGAGACCTTGCACATCTTGAATGTTCTCTCTCCCGCACTCCGCCAATGGAGGTTTTGCCAGTGGGAACTGGGCTCTCCCCCACCTGCCCCAACCATTTTGTTTCTTTTAAAATAGTAAATTAACACGGACATTTCTGCCTATCCTGTAGCACAAAAGTTATTCAAGAAGAGCCACTTGTGGGCACCGTTGGCAACTTCAGGATCTGCCTCTGCTTGTGTGTGTGATTTGTCTGCAGCAATTATTACAGGAAGGATATAGAAAAGTTAGAGTCAGTGCAGCGCAGGGCCACAAGGTTGGTGGCCGGTTTGCAGGGGATGCCGTATGAGGCGAGACTGAGGGAGCTGGGTCTCTTCAGCCTGGAGAAGAGGAGACTCAGAGGGGATATGTTGGCGACATGCAGGTATGTGAGGGGATGTCACACGGAGGTGGGTAGAGACCTGTTCTCCCCTGCAGAGGAAGGTGGGACGCGCTCCAACGGAGCCAAGCTCAGGGAGCCAAGGTTCCATTTGGATGCCAGGAAGCACTTCCTGACAGTCGGGACCCCGAGGGTGTGGAATGGGCTTCCACGGGAGGCGGTTGAGGCCCCATTAGTGAGGGTGTTCAAGGATAGGCTGGACATGCACATGGTGGGCATGTCGTGAGCGGAGCCGGCTGGTGCCAGAGGTCAGACTAGATGGTCCGGGAGGCCCCTTCTGACTCACTCTGTTTTCTATGTTTCTAATGTTTCTATTATTAGCCAGGGGTTTTGCTCCAGTTGGTGGAAACCTTTCCTACTCTTTCCTTAAGGGCCTGGGAGTTGGACAACCTTGTCTTCTTGCTGCCAGAGTTAATTCCAAATCCCTCTCAACACTCAAACAGTTTGGATAGACTTCCAGCCTCCAGGCAATTCTCACCGCTCTCCCCAACACTTTTTTTTGTCTTTTCTTACTGTGAAAAAGCAAGCTTCGCCTTCTGTGGTTGGACCATGCATGTCACCCAGGACCGCTCAGCTCTAGCTTGCTAAAGGCTGGCCTGGTTTATGCCCCACTTTTACTCGAAATATCCTAGGCGGATTGGCTGTAAGTGACCCACTGCCCCACTTCATGGGGCAGGCATCCCTTCCCGCTGTAGCAAGGTTCACAGTATCTGTGTAACATTTGAAATGTACACTGCAGGCATGAAAAGAAAAGCAGCCTGGGACAGGCCACTGCAGTAAATCAGGCCATAAACTTGATGTGGGCTGGTGACTTAATATAGGAGGGTGCCGGAGACACCTTGATTGTTCAGACTCACCTGTCTTCAATCCTAGAGGCTGCCAGGCCATATCGCACTCTGGAAATGTTTGATTCTGGACATATCAGTCTTAACACAGTGGCACATGGAGACGCCGTTCAGAAAGTTACTATTGATTATATTTTTAGGATGTAACCATATATAGCTGGCACCCTCAGAAGACCCAGACACAGAGAATTCTGAGATGCTCACACCCTTCTGGGCTGAAGCTGGCAGGGTGGGAGATGCAGCAAGTGGTTTTTGCTGCTCTCTCCTCCATTTTTCAATCCTTTGCTGGACAAAACATCTGCCCATCTGTGGGAAGAGGCCAGAGGGTCTGGGGAACTTGCCTCCTGGACCCTCTGGCTTCCTCCCCTCCTTACCCATCACTATGACACCTCCCACTCCGAGGTCAGTTTCCAACTTCAGAGAGGCAGCCACTGCATTTCTCTTTGCACCAGCTGCAAGAAAGGAGAGCGGGGGCAGCAAATCTCCAACTCTGCCTTTGAAGATCAGAACATTGTACTGGACCTTGGAGGTGGAATCTGAACCATCCTATGGTCCCTGGAATGTTTACCCAGGGATTTATTTATTTATTTTTAGATTTCTATCCTGCCTTTTTCCTCAAAGGGCTCAAGGCAGCTTACATCATTCTCCTCCTCCATCTTATCCCCACAACAACAGGTAGGTTGGGCTGAGAGTCTGTGACTGGCCCAAAGTCACCTGGTTGGCTCCATGGCCGAGCGGGGACTCAAACCTGGATCGCCTGAGTCCCAGTCCCATGCTCTTCACCACTACACCACACTGGGATCATAAGATCACTCTACTCCAGTATTTTTACCTTGCTTCTTAGCTAAAAAGAGCCCCCAGCATGTAGTCTTTGCAGGTTTGCAATTTTAAAAAATCAGGTGCTAGTACAGCATGCAAGGATCATCAGTGGGGAGGGAAGAGGAAAAGAGCAGGGTTGCAGATGTCATCTCCCACACTTTCCCTAGTGTATCCCAGAATCCCCTGTTCTCGCTGAGCTTAGCCAAAATCCTCACAGTAGCTGGAGGAACAGTATTTTTGTCTCTGTTATAATGCAAAATTGTTTCTGGTGGCTTGATCCACTGGGGAACTAAGATCCTGCAATTTAAAAAAGAGGGGTCTGCTGGAGAGGAAAACATGAACATTTACCACTCAGTCTGCAGTATTACCATCCCAAGGCCAGACTTACTGGCTTTATAGGTGGGCCAGTTTTAGATGGTAATATATATTCCCTTCACTCAGAATTTGCAGTAACCTGTCTTTAGGGTGGCCACATGTTCTATTTTCTGGGGGGCAGTTCGCTATTTGTTGGCATCTCGCATTTCAAGTCTGGCATAAAGGTGCAGCTCCCTAAGAAGGGGGAACTGCAGGGACCCCAGGGCACCTGGGTCCAGAGAGCTGCCCCGAGGGTGCTGCTGGTGCCAGCTGTGCACAGCCACTTCCACTGCACTTTTGTGTGCCAGACGCACACGCATGCAGAGAAACGGCAAGGGTGTGTGCCTGGACGCTCAGTCATAAATTAAAGCAGGCGCAGAAGATGCCGGGTGTTGCCTCCTCCTCTGGTCATCTTGGGAGGAAAGGCAGCTGCAAGAGGCCCCCGGAAATGACTGGGGGACCTTCCGAAGAAAGAGGGAATTGCTCTGGGGCTTTTCAATTCAGAAAGAAAAGAGTGGAGAAGTAAAAGTGGAGTGACTCAGCCAGCCCTACTGAGGTTGCCTTCTACTCCGTGACTGCTGGCTGGGAATGATAGGACTTGCAGCTCAACCCATCTGGAGGGCACTTGCTTGAGGAAGATTGGGATAGAGAGGGGCTGTGGCTCAGTGCCGTTGCCATGGAGTCATTTCCAACTGATGGCAACCCCGTGAATGGAAGCCCTCCAGCATATCTTGTCCATGACAGCCCTGCTTAGCTGTTCGAAATTCAAGGCTGCGGCTCCCTTTATGGAGTGAATCAGCCAATGTGATAGTCAGCCTTCTTTTTTTCTGCCTCCAGCTTTCTCTAGCATGATGATCTCCTCCAGTGAGTCCTGCCTTCTCATGATGTATCAAAAATATGACAGTCTTAAACTGAATCCCTATCAATTCCAGGAAGTGCTGGAAAAAGTCCTGCCTGAAATTCTAGAGAGCAGCTGTCAGTCAGTGCTGCTGCTGACAGTCATGCAATGAGGTCATAGAATGAAACTGACTAGTCCTGCAGTGAAATTGACTTCTAGAAGGTTCTGGCTATGCACTGAAATTGACTAGTCCTGCAATGAAATTGACTACTAGTTTGTACCAGTCATACACTGGGGTCATGCAATGAAACTGACTTGCTATGCAGTAAAATTGACTAGTGCTAGTTACCGAACTGACAAGTGGGTATTTTTTTACACTCTGTGTAACAAATGTAAACAACAGCTGATCCTGCAAAATGACTGGTGATGATTTGGCAATTCATGGAGGAGAAAAAGACGTTTACCAGCGGCTATTAGTCAGGATGGCTGCTGTATGTCTCTAAATACTACTGCTGGGAACCACGAAGGAAACAGTTTAGAAGGACCACTGACTTTATGACCCACTTGAGGTATTCCTGAAGGCTGCTAGGAGAAGCAAAATATTGGAGCCAGATGGATTTCTGGCCTGATAAGGCCTCTTTCTATGTTCTTCTCTGAAATAAAATCTCCGCTTGGACCAAACACTATGAAAAGAGAATGTCCGGGAGTAGAATGCTTCTTGACCTGCAAGCGCCACAAAGTGTCTATGACCACCATCACCAGCAACATGCCTTCTTTTTGTCTCGGGCGCAAGACTGGATTGCAGGTCCTGCGCAGAAATGATGGTCTACGTGCACCGAGATAACTGCAAAGTGCTCCTTCTGCAGGGGCAGCAGCATGGGAAACAGCAGCTCTGCGTCATGATGAGAATGAAGATGTTCGCAAGGGGCAGCTCATCAAGGTGGGGTCCTTGCAGGTCTGTGAGCAGCCACCTGTCTAGTGCAGGAGTGCCCCCATTTTGCATGCATGTAAACTTTTATTTGTGGAGGCCTTATTAGAATGAAGACAGGCACTTGCTAGTAGTTTTTAAATGTCAGTGAATACAACCCTGCCTCTTACCTGCTCTTCCTCTGCCTGAATGCAAACGACCAACACTACACTGCACAGCCCGAAAATTAAAAGGACAGGCCACATTAGGAAAATATGCTAAAATTCTAGAACCTTATTTCCAAGGAAAAACAAGCCATTTCCAAGCCACCAATCTGAGAAGAGGAGGTTTCAAGTACCATAAACCAAATTTATGAATGAATGGTTAGCATGTATTGCTGCGGTTCACCAAAAGCAAGAAATACAGAATGTCACTGTCACTTTAGCTTGTAAGGGGGTTTTGCTTTTGATGGTTTTTTTTTTTTTGGAAATCATTGTGCATTAACACCGGCGAATCTGTGCTGGACATTGCACTGGGGGGTTTGTTATTCCAGTGTGGGGTTTTCACGTACCTGCTTAAGCCAAGTCCTAGAACGGCTAGATTGCCTTTCTAGGGGGCAGAAGCCCATTCCATGCCATTTCCCCATCACACATAGAAATTTCTCAACTTCCTGAAGAGAATTCCCAAATGCAGACTTAGGGTAAAAACAGAGGATTTGGAAGATGTAACGCCATGCTTGTTTAGTCAGAAGAAAGTCCTCCAACTCTGCGTCCCCCAGCCAGCAGTGCAAGCGGCTGTGGGAGTGCACCTTGCCGGTGTAGGTTTATGGCCACGCCAGTTTTTCCTAATCTGAGTGCAGACAGATGTTTCAGGCAGCAGCTCCAGGCAGCACCAGTGTAGTCCAGAACATCTGAAAGGAACCAGGCTGGGGCAGCTCAGCGATGTCTCTTTGATGCTCACTGTGACTCCAGAGTAGGCCCAGCGATACAGGGGCTTTAACCCTTTCCTCCCATAATCACTCTCCCCCTGCAGTTTCAGGTTCCAAATAGTGGTCTATTAGCTTCTGGGAGCTAGCAGTAAACTCTTGGCAGTGATGTCTGTCTTAGTCTGATGCATACAGAAAATGTGAGAGCCTCCAGATGGTAGAGGCCCTTCCTGAATTACCGCTTTTTTGACTTGGGAGACACTTTGGTAGTCATGAGGTCTAGCCCATCCCGTGCAGGAATGTTGAAGCGGCAGCATTTATGATAAAGGGTTGCTTGGATTCCCCTGGCGAAGGCAATCTCTTCCATCTTCCAGCTATGCTTTCCACACACTGGTTGGAAAAACAGCAGCAAAAATCAAGCCCGATCCACCTTCTTCGTAGCTCTCCAGAAAGATCCATTGCCAGGTCTTCCCTTCCTTGTTTCCTCATCAAGCTAAATGTCCTTGATTACGAGGAAAGGAAAGTGCTAGCCGTGACCCGGGGCAGTGCACGTTCGGTCCCCGCTTGGCCGTGAAGTTCGCCGGGGGACTCTGAGCCTGGCCTACCTCACAGGGCAGCTGCGGAGAGCAAGAGGAGCGCTTTGGGTTCCCTGGAGGAGAAGGATCGCCGCCTCGGTTTCACTCCGATCTGGGCAGCCGGCTGTGTGGACGGGCGGCGCCTCTGCGCTCGGGCGCAACCCTGGGGGCATCGCGGGGCTCCAGGGCCGCCGCGGGGAGACCCCGCCGGCCTCGCCTGCGCCCCGCGCGCCGCAGGGACGCGCCCGGACCTGGAGCGCCCCTCCCCGCGCCCCTCTCCCCGCGCCCGGCTGG